AAACTGTATGTTAATATTATACATGTGATTTTTGTAGCCTCTTACGGAGAACATTGATTGTTTGGAAAATTGCTATTTGAATCCTTGTGGCTAAAGGATAACAGGTAACGTGAATTCTATTCATCTTACTTACTGGTGACTCCTACGAGTTCCTTTCAAAGCATGAAAATTTATGAGGATGATTTGATTATCGTTTTACGAAAAGATTTATTAGGAATTATGGCAACCTTTTATAGATTTTAAATTAGCCTTGTGGGACTTTATTTTGTTGAAGAGGAAATTCTTGTTGGAACTTTAGGAAGTGGATGAGAGGACCATGTTTGCCATAGTGAGTGGTCCTGTAACATCCCGAATTTTATAACCCTAATAGCCCTGAAAGTATGGGACAAAAATGAAGTAGCCCGTAATGGAGAATTGATGTGAGAAGAATGTTAAGGATAATGAGAAAGTCCCAAAAATATCTAGCTGGTGTAAATTGGACACCGGTAGATAGGGGAAAATTATCTGATAAGATTAGATAATGGAAATTTCAATATTTCCAGAAGGGCTGTAAAAAGGAAACTAAATAGAAAATAATGATACTTGAGGTCTAAAAGAATTATGAGAATTTTTCTGGAATTTTCCGGGACAGTCAAAAATACCGGATATTTGGACTGAAATAATTAGGGGTATTTTGGTAAAAATACCCAGAGACCTCAATAATTCTCGGGAAAATTATGGAAAATCCCTTGAGAATTATAGTAATTTCAAAAATTGGTTCCAGCCCAAATTGATGAGCAGAAGTACGATAATGGATTTTACGGTAGAATTATTATCGGTAGAATAGTGATTTTTGACAGAATAAAATTTAGAAAATTATAGAGGGACGTAAAACTTGAGAAAAATCATGGATTACCCTTGGAATGAGGGGAATTTAATGAGGTGTTGAAATCAAAATTTTGTAACAGTAAATTGGACAGGATTGTTGGAAAATCGGACCGGAAATACACAAATAATCAGTGGATTGCATTGATTATTGGATGAGTCATTTTTTTCCAATATTAAGAGTATTATTTCGGCCAAAAATTAGGGGCGGAGGACAAAGTTGGAATTTTCCAAATTGTTCAAGGGCATAAAGGAAAATAAGAGACAAAACATTAAAATAATATTTTATTTCCACATGAAAATCACATGGTGATTAGGTGTCCATCCATGTGTCACTTTCTTATGGTGTGTGCCCTAAGATTTGTCCATGTGTAAAGTAGAAAAAAAATGGACGGCCGAGATCGCATCTTTTTCCCGAAGGGCATTTTTGGCATTTTGAAATATCAAAGCCTATAAATACCCCCTTCCATGAACAAATTCGGCCAAAGTGGTTTGCATGAGAGGGAATGTTGTGTTCTTGAGTTCTAGGAGAGAGAAAGGAAGAAAGAAGAGAGAGAAAGGGTGAAAGCAAGGTTAGACACCTCTAATCGCCGATTAAGAGCTAATTAAGGTATGTTTATCTCCCTAAGTGTTAATTATTTTTAGTTAATTATTTATTTGAGGAAGATTAGGATTAATTACCTTGATTAATTATGGTTTAGTGATAGTAAAGATTAGTCATGTTATTTGATTAAAGATTAGTAAGTAATTAAGGTTAGCTACCCTGATTAATTAGTGATTAGTTATGCTAATTGAAGGATGATTAATTATGATTAATCATGTTGATTAAGGATTGATTAAAGCTTAATCATGTTGATTAGAGAATGATTAATGGTTAATCCAAAAGGGATTAGTGACTTAATCTTAGAGGATTATGACTATGTGACTTGAGGACCTTAATTAAATATTGGATTAAGGACTAAGGGTTAGTGATTAACCAAGAAAGCATGATTAATCATGGATTAAGGAAGAATTCCAAGACCTTAATTGAGGATTAAGGCTTGGTCAAACCAAGGTCAAAGGTTTAGGAAAGGTATACAGAAATTATAAATTGAAAGGCACAAGGGTAGCATTATATTGAGAAAGAATGGTATACTGGATATGGAATTTACCATACCCTTACTGTATGGTTGATAGGCAATTTTCTGGAAACCTAGGAGGATCTCATGCAAGGGAACAAGGAGGAAACGTTAAGCGTGGAACTGAGGTAGCGTGAACTGCAATTATTTTGTTGATCTGCATTCGGTGTTTCTGCTATGTGTGTTTATGTGCCATGAGAATGTTTATGTACAGATGATGTGAACTCCTTGCAATGTATGCCTTGGCTCTTGCATGATTGAGTTTTGACCAGGATGATTATATGCTCCATGATATGATGACATGGATACAGAATGGTTATGGCATGGCATAAAGACTAGAAATGTTATTTTACTGCATGTAGCATGACATCTTATGCATGTTGACTTGATGGTTGTATGTTCAATGCTACTGGGATTTCTATGAAATCTCATTCCTCCTATAACATGATATCCTAGGTGCCACTACTGCCAAGGAGAAGGGAAAGGAAATAATCATGGCTTGAGGAAGTTATGAATTATGTAATGTATTATACGGTTTTGAACCTTTCTCTTTCAAGCCATGTAAGCATACTATGATCATGAATACATGATATGATAACCTTTTTGGAATGTATATTAATGATAGAATAGCTTTACATGTGATTATGGTATGATTATAGTGAAAAACGAAATGCTGTTAGAATTAGTGAAAAAGGGGATAAAAATGGTCTAGATTTGACCAAACTTTGACCAACGAAGACCCTGGTCAAATGGTTGATTTTTCCCTGAAATTTGGCATGCAAATAGATCTTATTTTTCCCTTTAAAATGAGTGGTAAAGCGTCACAATCGGAGCTCTGTGTAAGAAGTTATGCCTTTTCAAAGTTAGGCAAAAATCCTGGAAAATAGAAAAATGACCAAATGAACAGTACTTTTTGAAATTGAAAACGGATGCGTTTCTGATTAAAGCGGAACCTGAGGTCATTTTTCCTTGATAGATGATGTTAAGAGCTTCGAGTGAGACTTGAAATGACCTTGTTTCGATTTTTCTAGAATTAGTTATGATTTTTCAAAGTTATGCTAAGTTTAAGGTTACAGTGAATAGTAATGCGAGAAAAGAAATTTTCAAATTCAGGTTTTTCAACCCAGTAACCTTAAATTGCGTTTCCGAATGTCTTAACTTGGCACAATATAAGGTCATAAACGTAAGGTGTTACAGGTCCAACTTAGAATTATTTATTTACTATTTATCATTTACTATTTACTATTTATTATTTTTAGTTATCTGTGTTGGTTGTGGAAACTTATATGGTGCTGTGGCAAACCATACTGAATGAGCATGAAATTGTGAAATATCATCTTGTGAGTTATAGTTGAGAATGTCATATATAAATTGAATAGCTATGGATGTGAATATGATAAATTACTATGAATTGTGATTGGATAATATTCTGGGGAGGAGATTGTGCAGAAGCATATGATATTGTGACCACGTGGTAGGCCGCCATATGGCGCTCTATGGCTGGCCCATATTACCAGGGCAGTAACCCTGGGCTTGCGACACTCCAGAGGTATCCCAGGGTAGTAACCCTTTCTGGAGGAACCCATGGCCCTTGTGTGCTCTGTCAACGTTGGCCGGTCCGCATCACACTTGTGGGAAGCTTGTGAGAGTCAGTTATGACGTGGGTAGCAATTAGCTCATAGGTTCAGTCGGCAGTTATAAGGAGGTTATAAGGTGGAACTGGAAATTTAATGTATTGTGATAATGTGACAACTATGATGCATTTTATTTAGTTTGAATATTATGACCTAATGTGATCTTGAATGATATGTCTGTTTGCGTGCTATTCATATGCCATTGGTAACTATTGATTTTGAACTGTTAGTCCTACTTGGAATCTCGTAAGGGTACTGGTAGGTAAGGTGGGTAGAATTTATGTTACTGAGACAGTGGTCTCATTCCGTTACTTCACCAATTTCAGGTGAGAGCAGCAGGGGAGATGCAGCGGGGAAGGCACTGTAAGCGTGAGGTCACTTACACTAGTGACTGCGCTTCGATTCTAGAATTTATGTTTGGTTTACGTTTAATTGCCACCCAGGAGCCATGATGTTCTTTAAACTGTTATTGGCTTATTTTAGACTTGTTATTACCACTAGAGTGATTTGCTTCTTTAGCTATGGATATTTTTATTGATTGCTTTAGGGGCCTTCGACCCACAACTGAACATTGCGGCAACTGCATTTGAATAAGTAGGTCATTTAGTGATGCTTTTCTTATGATTTATTTTATATCATGTCTATGTTAACCAGGTATGTTGGGGATTTAAATAACCATGTTAGGGGTTAAGCTTTTTTTTTTTCTAACATGGTTAAGGTGAAGTAGTAAGTATGATATTTTTTTTATAACCATGATATGTGCTTGGGTATGGTATCTCTTTTTATATATCATGGTTATTTAGCGAACTAAAACAAAAGTTAAGATTCTTCTTTTATGTACCTTAGTAAACACACACATGTGCTACTTGTATGTTTAAGTATGGCATAGCTTTATTTGGGATATTACACCAAGTGGTTTGGGGTCAACAAATATAAATATTTTGTCTCTGCTCTCTTTTAACTCATTGCTAATTCATTTCAGATCTCATTTTCTACATTGCTTCATTCTCCCAACTTGTCAACGTTGCACTGTTTTCGATTGGGAAAAAGGTTTTAATAAAGTTTTATAAGGTACCTAATTCACTTCCCTTCTTGAGTGTTGGCCATACTGCAAGAAGCATAGTAGACGAGCCAAGGAACCAGCCTAGAAACATTATTTTAATGGCACAATTCGCATGACAAGTATTTATGCTCTTATTTATGCGTTTAGTTAAGCTCTTCAAGCAAATTGAACTTACTGTTCAAGGCCAGGAACAATCGTATTTAGTCAGATACTCAGCGACAGAATAATGGGATGCATTGGCCAATTAAGCACTCAAAAGTAGTAAAGAGATATGGGGAAGCAAAATTATTGGACACAATGTCTGTACAAACTTGACTGCCGCTCAAGCATTTTATCAAACATATGCCAGGCGTATACTATAAATTGAGCTGAAACATAACAGTTGTGTGGCTTTTCCGATCAAACTCTCTCTGGCTTTTCTTCTCTCTGCGGCTCTCCTCTCTCGACCTCTTTTCCTCTCTATCGATAGGAGTCACGAACTTCTCTTCCCGATGAGAAATCATATTGAATTGTCTATTTTACATCACCATTTGCTTGATTGAACCTTCCCCCATCATCATTTTTATGCGTCTCTGTATCACTGTTTCAACTGCGCATCCGGCCAGGCTTCTGTTTTCAGCCAACGTTCATAATGGAAGACAAGGGAAGAGATAGGTTAGCCGATAGCTTCCTCAATTTTTCTTCAGCCGTCATGCCTCCTCCTTTTCTCGCTTTATCGCTCTGCTTCTTGACGCCAAAGTGGAAAACTCAGGTCAGGGATTTTACAATTAAGGTGTGGATCGAAAACGGTTCACCATTTTCCATTTCGTATCTAATAATCTATAATAAACGTGATTCTTAGGAGGAACTTTTGAAGGGAAATTGAACTCTGTGGATCCACTTTACCTTCCGTACCCTAAGTCTATTCTTGTTGTTGTTACCCAGAAAGTTGTTTGTCCAAGCTGCTGAAAATTTGGTGCTAAAAAAATGTAGAAAATGGGGTTCAGATGATCGATAATACTCCTCTGCATGTTTCGTATTACAGAGTTCATATTTCTTTATGGTAAATGGTATGGGTATGGTTATACTTACATGGACGATATTTATCTGATAACAAACACAATGTTATGGTAATTTCTTCGTGTTCAGATTCATGGTTTGAATTGGCTCGTTGATATTTGATTATGAATTTCAAGTGACTGACCCTTTGCTGAAGGATTTTGAGTAGTATGCCCGCCTCAGATCAGACTCAGGTATGGTCCTAGTTCTTCCCCTTTTCGCCCAATAGTTCGATCCTCATGGGTATATATTGGAATAGGTGGTGGATTATGAATGTGATAAAAGCAAAACTCATTTCGGACTTCTTGCATTTACTTATTTTAATTGTTTATAAGCATGTTCATATAAATTGGAAAAAAAATTATTATATATTTATCTAGTATTTCACAAATTATAATTGAAAAGTTGTTGAGCATACCTGAATTCATATTATTCATATTGGATCTCCTACATATGTGAATTGAATCCTATACACGCCACTTATTTACCAATTTCCATGAGATTCTGGGGAAAAAATTTATTAAAAAAAAATAGTACTGAATGAAAATTGCTATTTATGTGGAAGACAAAATGACCAATATATTGAGCATTTGATGGATATATATGAGAAGGATAATCATAATTATTTATTGTTTCTTCCGGTTCTAAATATAAGACCTATTTTATAGAGTAAATTACACAGGTTTTATAATTAGGACACGATGAGTATATTAGAATTAGGAGTGTTCAATTTGTCTCGTCCCGGTCCCGGTGAGTTTGGGACGGGATAGGACGGAACAAAAAAAATTTCGAGACGGAACAAAAACAGGACAGGACGGGACACTAACTGGAACGAGGCAGGACGCGCCGGTTGTTTTTTTAAAAATAATTTATTAATAATTATTATTAGATTATTCAATTTACTTATTAATAATAATTTTTATTTTTATGATGATTTTTAGCTCTTAAGTTATAGTATTATCTCAATAAAATCTCCTTTCTCATTATAAAGTCATTATATAGTGTTTTTTTTACGGTATTTTTTTATAGTATTATTTTTACACTTTTTTTATACTATATAATTGAGCTTTCTACAGAATATTTTTTTACAATGTTTTAATCTTTAGAAGCTCAATAAAAAATAAACATTATAACATAAAAAAATTCATATAAAAATTATAGTATTTTTTTTTAAAAAAAAGAGGAAGCGGGATGAGATGAGACACGAGACAAAATCCCAATCCTGTTCCTGTTCACCTGGACTGGACAGGATCAGGACAGGCCTGTCCCGGTCCCGTCTCGTCCCGTGAACACCCCTAATTAGAATATAAGTACACGTGAGTCAGATTTTATACAGAGATCAAGCTATATGTTGAAATTGTTCAAAATTCTTCGTTTCGTTCAGAATTGTGATCGTTGTGTTTTCAAATTTTACTTGTGGAATGGGAGGTGGGAATATTCTGCCTTTGAAAATTTTGCTTGTCAAAATGAATGTGCGGAAAAATATGACAAGCCCATTAGTGGTTTTCCACCTTATAAGTAATTACAAAGATTAATCACTTGCCTTTTATGGCAAGCTTATGGGCATATTCATGCACTTTCGAAGATGGAAATATCGGTCATTAGACTATATGTTGAAACTATTAAAAATTCTCCTTGCTTCATTGAGAAGTGTGAGTGTTATTTTTTGAAAATTTTACTTGTTGAATGGGAGGTTGGAATATTTTATTATTAAAATTTTGCTTGTCAGGATGAAAGTGTAGAAAATATGTCGAGGCCATTTTTTTTTTGGCCAAAATGTCGACGTCAATTCAAAAACAAGTTTATAGACTCATAACTTTTTCAGAAGATTGTTTTTTTAATTAATTTCATTTTTTTTTGGCCAAAATCATTTATATGTATTTCTGACATTATATTTTTTATTTCAAATTTTAGATGTAATGAAATCAAATCTGAATCTTGAAAACAAAATGCTGGCAGAAAGAAAGAGGTTTTGTTCCTTTGCTTGCTTCTAAAATATTTCATCAAGGCAATGATATATTATATGTTTTAAAATTTTAATTGACTCTTGTTTTTTCTTCATTTTAAACTAAATCTTAGAAACACAACTTACCTAATAAATAATGTGCCACTCAAACAAATTTTAATAAATTTTTTCAACGAAAATTTTCTTTTAAATTAGAACCAAGCGATGACTATTTAGTTAACTAAAAGGAAGTTTTAATCTTCGTTGTTTAATTTTAATTCTAATTTATTTAATAAAAATTACCTGGACAATATCTCCTTGTCAAATTGTAGTTATGGCTTTATTAGCACCATTGTGAAAACAAGCGTGACATGTGTCAGCTTTGAGATGACTTATTCAGTATCACAAGACTTTGTCAATTGGAACAACTTTTGAGAAATAGATATTCAAAGATTATATGCTGCGAGAAAGTTGAAAATTGAAAAAAACCATTCACGGAAGATCATAGCTTCTGTGTCTCGCGGCTGCTGGGCTCTGATGCTCAAAAGTCAATTGACTTCAACTTTTCTTGTGCCAGCCAGAAGCGTCTTGATGGCCAGCAGCTCGTGTGAGGATTTTTTTTTTCTTTTTCAGAAAACACCATTAAATTATTTTATAGACCTAATTAATTAATTTGAGTAGATTAAAAATATTAGTTAAATTAGTTAATATGATATATTTTTTTAAGACACCCTAAATATTTTTCTTAACCCATTTCTTTCCTCTCCTATTTAATTATTGTTGGAGGAGTATCAATAGGATTAATCTGAAAAGAAAATTGATAAACATGTTAAGTATGTCTTACATATAATAACAATATCTCTTATATTAAGTTTTGTTTTTTTTTTGCTACGTGATATTTTGTACAAACTTCTTCGCATAATTTAACAGCTTGTCTTTTGATGAGATATGCGCACGCGCACACACGGATTGTTAGATTACGTACTCAAGTTCCTTTCTTGCTTTCCTATCCGAGATGCTTCACTTTATTAACCATCGCTGGTCGCCAGAACCAAATTTGCAACAGCACTGGTGGTTCTTGGTGAAGTTAGGGGTAGACCAGGTCCCAGGACAACTAATCATGGCAGCAAAAGAACTGCTTACTTTGTTTGTCATAATCCATCACTGCTTCTTGTTTTGCGCAGCTACTGATATCATAACCACTGACAAGCCTCTAAGTGATGGTGATATTCTCATTTCTAAGGAAAATAAGTTTGCTCTTGGGTTCTTCGCTCCAGGCAAATCAAACTATCGCTATGTAGGAATTTGGTACTACAATTTGCAACAGCAGACTGTTGTTTGGGTTTCAAATAGAGACAATCCCATGAATGACACCTCTGGAGTTCTCTCTATCAGCTCAAATGGAAATCTGGTTCTGCATGGTAACTATTCTGACATGCCCCTCTGGTCTACGAATGCTTCTGTCACTGTTCCAAATACAAAAGTTATGGCTCAACTCACAGATTTAGGTAACCTCGTTTTGATTCAAAATGATTCCAAAACTATTATCTGGCAGAGCTTTGATCATCCTACCGATACCTTGCTTCCGTATGCCAGAATTGGAGTCAACAAAAGAACTGGTCAGAGTGAGTTCTTGCAGTCATGGAAGACCGAGGATGATCCTGGAACAGGAAGCTTCTCTGTTGGGTTCAATACTAGTGGGAAATCCCAGTTGTTCTTGTACAATAATAATGCCCCATGGTGGCGTATTGGATCCTTCAACGGCGAAATGTATGTTGGCAATCCGTTTATGAAACAAGCAATGGCAAGTGATTTCAATATGACCATCTTGGATGATGACAATGAGGTTGCGTTTAGATATAACGCTTTTGACAAGACAATTATTGTGCGGGCGGTAGCTCTTCAATCTGGATCTTTTCAAGTACTGATATGGGATTCTAATAAGATACAATGGAATCGATACTGGTATGGTCCAAAAGTAGATTGTGACATGTATGGTTCCTGTGGGGCCAATGGAAACTGTGACTCTTATGACTATGCGTATTTCAAGTGTTTCTGCCTACCTGGGTTTGAACCCAAAAATCCAACAGATTGGTATCAACATTTCCATCGAACAGAGGGTTGTGTGAGGAAGAAAGGGCCATCCGTGTGTGGGAATAATGGAGAAGGCTTTGTCAGAGTAGAAAGGGTTAAAATTCCTGATACAGCTTTAGCAAATGTTAATATGAATATGAGTGTGGAAGAATGTAAACAAGAGTGCTTGAGAAACTGTTCTTGTAATGCCTATGCAGCTGCAGATGTGAGAAATGGAGGAAGTGGGTGCTTAGCTTGGCATGGGACTTTGACGGACACAATGGTATTAAGTGATGAAGGCCATGATTTATATGTTCGTGTTGATGCCACTGAACTTGGTAATTACAATATTTTAATTCTTTGTTTATTTATTTTTCCTCCTCTGTTTTATGCTCTGTGTTTATGACTTCTTTCTTCCAACTCTTCCCAGCAAAATATGCTAGGAAATCAAAAGGAGAGCTTTCCAAGTTTGGGAAAGTGGGAATAGCAATGGCTTGTGTCGCTTTGATTGCTCTTCTCACCACCTTATCTGTATATTGCATTCGGAAGAGAAAAACAAGAGGTGACTATTTCATTTCATGTCTGACTTCCTTATGGTTTGTAATTTGGATGTTCTTTCACTTAATAACGACTCTTTTTCACTAGGACCAAAAGTCATTATTTAGCCGATTTATTTCGTTTTGCCTATACGCAGTTTTATATGTTTCTCCGCCATTTTCCCTTAGTTTGTTCTATGTTGTTTGGGTAGTCTCTTCCTTGGTTTTTTTGTTAAGGATAAGTTGCATTTGTTAAGTACATGAGCAATAAAGTCACATTTGTTAAGGATATTGCCAGAGAATTTGATCGAAACCTTCGTGTTTTTATTGATTACAGCTGTATTAGATGTTTTCGAGACAAAATTACTTGTTTAATCACAGTTTTGCCACCCAACACATTGATAAAGGTAAATAAGAAAACAAGAAAGACACGGCAATCTCAACAAGTCCTCTGACCAAAAGAAATCTCAGCAGGTCCCACCTCATACGCATTAACTTAGTCGCCTAACACATACTCTGTTGCCAACTCACCCCTCCTACTTGTCTTTTTTCTGCTATAAATTTGGGCTGGCATTCCAAGTCCAATATTATCCCCAAACCCATCAGAATTGTTGGGTGCTCAAAAGTCAAAAGTCAATGATAATGGATTAATACCCATGAAGGGCTCAAAAGTCCGTGCCAAATGACTTATTAAAATAGCAAAAACGCTAGGGGAGCATGGTCATCTAATTCTTCAAGCATTAATCTTGAAATAAACTTTTTTTGGATAAAGGGTTAAATGCTTTTTCCTCCCTTCTTGATACTACATTTTCAAATGTTCTTACAGACACTTCATTTCTTGTTTTTATTAATCTCAGATGAAATTGGAGAGCAAGAATTAGAGTTAGATTCCCCAACGAATCAAGAACGATATGGTGAAGATGGAGGACAATCAAGCTTAACATTTTTCAGCATCAAAACCATAATGACTGCAACAAACAATTTCTCAAATGAGAATCAACTAGGGCAGGGTGGATTTGGTTCTGTATACAAGGTAAGTGAACTGTTCAAAAATCCTGTTGCTATGCAGTTGGTAATGTAAGGGAACTCTGAGGCAGGTTGTCTTGCACATCAATAAATAGCAAGGTAGTAATAAGCCCACTTATTATATTTTTATATCTCATATTGGTTATAGTATGATATAAATCTTATGATATCTCAGGGCTTACTAGATAATGGACTAGATATAGCAGTGAAAAGATTGTCACAAGGTTCTGGACAAGGGATTGGAGAGTTCAAGAATGAAATTAGATTAATTGCAATGCTGCAACATAGGAATCTTGTTAAGTTGCTTGGGTATTGCATTCATAAGGAAGAAAGGATGTTGATATATGAATACCTACCCAACAAAAGCTTGGACTTCTTTCTCTTTGGTGCGTGTTCTTCTCCTTCTCTTTCTTTAGACTAATTTTGCTTTCAGATATCACACTTTCAATTAACATACCTCAATAAATTAGAGAATTGTGAAAAAAAATTTATATGCGTAGTCTCCCCCCCCCCAAAAAAAAATCATCAAATTTGGAATATACTCAAGATTTCTAATCTATTCTTGTGAAATCATAGAAATGTTTAGTGGCAATACTTTGAAAGGGCTCAGTATTCGTTTTCAACTCTTCATCAATATGTATCAAAGACAGCTATAGGAATGTATAATCAGTAAGTGCTACTTTTTTAGACTTAACGTTTTCACAATTACAAGGGTTCTATATGATTCCAATGAGTTTCTAGGAATCGAAGCTAGATAAGATTCTTGAAAATATTTTTTCTTGCATAAAAAATAAAATTTTATAGCCTTGAACGCCTATTGTATCATACTTGATTTGTGTATGTGTTCGAACTAGATTAGCTTAGCTTTCCATCATTTTCAATGTTAATTATTTTATGGTTCATTGCAGACTCAAATCATAGAATGTCATTAGATTGGGACACACGTTTTCATATTATTTTTGGAATTGCTCGAGGTCTTCTCTATCTTCATCAAGATTCAAGACTGAAAATAATTCATAGAGACCTTAAAGTTAGTAATGTTCTTTTAGATGCTACAATGAATCCCAAAATTTCAGATTTTGGCATGGCTAGAATATTTGGTGAGGATCAAGTCCAAGCAAAAACTCGACGAATTGTTGGAACATAGTAAGGACAAAACCATTCCACAAATTCTAAAACAAAACAATTGGGTTTCACAACAATGTTGTAACTATTTTCCTTATTTCAGTGGTTACATGTCTCCAGAATATGCAATGGCAGGACAATATTCAACAAAGTCTGATGTTTTTAGCTTTGGTGTTCTTTTGCTGGAGATTATCAGTGGCAAGAGAAATACCTATTGTGATAAAGAAAGATCATCCCTAAATTTGATTGGGCAGGTAACCAAATAAAACTACAATAGTGAAATTTAAACATAATCATTGATCTTTTCCTTCTCCTCTCATAACCTTGAAAGCTCCGGAACCAATTTTATTGAATTTTGGTGCCACCATTTTAAGTAATAATATGGCATTCACTTAATTTGTAGGTGTGGGACTTATGGGGAGAAGGAAAAGCCTTGGACATAATGGACTCAACACTTGGCAAATCATATCCTCTTGACACATCCCTAAGGTGTATACAAATTGGGCTCTTGTGTGTGCAAGAAAGTGCCTTCTATAGACCATCCATGTTAGACGTCATTTTCATGCTTGGCAATGAAGTAAGCATACCATCACCTCACAAGCCTGCTTTCCTATTCAATTATGAAATAAAGCATTTAGAGTCTTCATCATCGGGAGATCCTTCAATAAACGTTATGACTACTTCAATCGATGCTCGGTAACCATGACTTGGGAGATATGAGAAATGTACTCAATCGATCATCTTATGTCTTTTTTGTTGTTAGATACTTAGATTTGGAATTTTGGATTATTCTACTTGACTTTGTATCAAGGTTTGTATTATAATGCATAGATAACTAAAAAATGTTCTTTTTATTTGGAAAAAAGGGTATTGTAGTTGCCGTAATTGAATGGCTTTATAGGTGAAGTTAATTCTTTGGTTTGTATAGTTTGCATCATTTGTTGATTTGGTTCCTATAATTTACTATTCTTAGTTCTAGACATAAAATTTAGTTTGCAATATGCAATTTACACTACAAACTAGATCTTATATTTTAAATTAAATATAGTATTTCGTTTTAATGTTATCACTATATCGAAATGCTTCAATGTTACTCCCATTGCTTTTGAAACAATAAATCATCAATCCCCACCGTGTTTCCTATTATCAACATCATCAAAAGTAAGAGGAGATATGGATCTCTATCTCGTTAGAAAAACTGTCTATAAGCTTTCTCAAATTCATTCAATTACATAACTAAGCCAATTTCATTGCGGGCCAAGCAGTAAAAAACATTTCGAATGGAGGAAAGCCAATAGAAAGAATGGTAAAAAGATAAATTTATTTATTATAATACTAAAAAAAAGCACCATACATCATTAAAAAAAATATTACATGCAAAAATGTACATGAACATTTTAAATCGAGGCAAAAATGTCATCTCATAGACAGATGCTTTGTGCGGAAAAAAAAAAAAAAGCTTCATAATCTATTGTTTGGAATAAACTCCAAACTTACGAGTCAAAATAAAATCCAAACAATCAATTAATTCGTCTTATTAATCCCTCTGGGAAATAGAAAAAACCAATCACTTATAGCCGGCTTAATTGCTGCCGGAATTTCATAGCCAGAATAATGAGATAGAGGAAGGAGTAGAGAATCTCAAAGCAGACGCATAATTTATTTATTAGAGTGAATAAAGCAGTTATACAATGATAGAAACAAAGCAAATCCGAACTAAATGAGGAACCTGTTTTTTTTTTTCCTTTTCTTTTTTCTTCGTCATAATCTAAACAAAGGAACCAAAGCAGAATAATGAAGGCCCTAGTATATCAAATATTACTTGTCCCACTTCTATCACCACAATCTCATTACATTCCACAGGATCATACAGTTCCTCACTTGAAAAATAAATCTTCTATTCTGTAGCTGCAACAACTGCTGGACCTTCCACGTGATGATGATGTATTTCATCCATCAGATTATTAATTATGCATGTAATAATGTGTTATAAGAGATTAACCAACCATTTATCATTAAAAATTTTAGATCTTAAAAACAAGGCGACTCCTAGGCCCTTCATATTCATAAAAACGAGGATGGCATAATAACAGCCGATGGAGCACCAAGCATTTAATGAAGAATGACATTTTTGGCTAGTTTTGAAATGTCCACGTGTATTTTTTTTATGTGACATTTTATTAAGATATTTGGTACTTGTTTTTAATATTATAATAAGTAAATTTGTCATTTATCTGTAGAAAAATATTAATTACGATTACCAGTCCTAAATATAAGATTTCGTTTATAGTCTATAAATAAGATCTTATAATTAGGAAAGGAGGCAGTACAAATATAGAAGAGTATTATGCATTCAATACACAAACAAGGGCTTAGAATATTCTTATAAACAAAACAATCTAGAAGCTGGGTTATTGGTTTTCTGGCCTAGTTTGCAGACCATGTAATATTCCTGTCATGACAATACACATTTAGTCCTTGTAGCATTCTTTTCCCTGCAACTCACAAAGACTAATTATCTATAATTATAAAACATTACGGAAAAAAACAACTCATTACTAATAGAATTACCGATAAAAAATTATTCCGTCGCTATTTTTTGATAGATTACTGACAAAAAAATTTATTTAGTCGCTAATCTGCCAATCAATTTTTAGTGACGGAATTTTTCCATCATAAATTTTGTCACTAATCTTTGCTATGAACTTTTTAGTTAAAGAATTTTCCCTCACTAATTTTTGTCACTAAATTGTTTGTCACGAAATTTCTTATCATTAATTTTGTTGCCAAATCTATTATATCACAATTCTGTTATTAATTTTAAATTTTATAATTTTATATTACAATTCTTTGGAAAAACTATTCTTGAGGTACTTGTAGTTTCCTTTAATTTTTAATTTGGCACTTATGTATTTTTCTTCTTATTGAATATTTTAATTTTACTCTTGTAATACCATTAAACCTTAAAACTTTGTTCTATTAGCATTATTAGATCATATACAAATAAATATTTATTTTGTTAGCATTATTAGACCATATATAAAAACTAATTGTGCTAAGAGAGTAAAACTGAATGATTTAATATGGAAAGAAAAACTCACATGTACGAAATTAAAAATTGAAGAAAACTAAAGATATTTCAAGAATGGTTTTCGCTAATCCTTTTTTTTTTTTGCCACCATTTTAGATTATGATCCTACAACCATTTATATGATAGTTCTTTTATCATTAATATAAGACTTATTTAATTAATTTGATTATATTAAAGAAGTTAGATAAGTTAGTTAATTATAAGAAACATGACGTATTTTTTCTAACATACTATTATCATCTTCCTTAATATCTCCCATTCTCCTATTTAATTATAGTTGAGGGAGTATCTATGGGGATTACTTGGGAAAAAAGAGATAAATATGATAAATAGATCTTACATTTAGAATCAAAATCAATTCAATAATTAAGTTCTATATTAAGAATAGGAAGAGTAAAATAATTAATAATACAATAATTTAAATATATTTTTAATTGTAAAATAAATTAATATATTTGGGAGTTGGCGTTAATAAAGGTATCATGATCACTTATCTCATCGATAGATGCTTGCTAAAATAGAAAGATGATTTCTTAGAAAATTTGTTTTATGGTCAATTAAAATCAATTCCTCTTGATCATAATAATCGTTAAACAAATAGATAAAAATATTAATTGCTATAAATAAAGAAGAAAAAGTAGAGAGTTAGAGGGAAGAGAATATAAGAGTATTTCCTATTCCATTCAAGGTCCTCAATACATGATACATGCCCTCTATCTATAGCCATGACTTTACAAATTCAACAAAATCTACAGATTAATAGGAGATAATTGTGAGATCATAAAGATAAGATACGATAAAGAAGATAATAGAAGAGATATGGACATCTATACAAATATTATTATGTTCATGACACCCCTTCTTGGATGTCTATTATATGAATGTGCCTCATTAAAAGACTTCATTCAAGAAACAGTCTGTGGGACAAAGCCTAATAGAAAACTATTAATTACTACCTCTGATTCTAACTATAAGACCTTATTTATAGTTTATAAATAAGGTCTTATAATTAGGATCGGAGATGATACAAATATAGAAGGATATTATGCATTCAATACACATAGGGGTCTAGAATATTCTTGAAAACACGACAATCTAGAAGTTGGGTTATTGGTTTCTGGCCTAGTTTGCAGACCATGTAATATTCCTTTCATAACAATACACATTTAGTCCTTGTAACGTTATTTTCCCTACAGATCATAAAGACCAATTATGTATGATTAAAACACTACAGAAAAACAAATCATTGCTAATGGAATTAGAAATAAAAAATTATTTTGTCGCTAATTTATGATAGATTACTAACAAAAATTTAGTCTATAATCCTCCAATAAATTTTTAGTGACAAAATTTTTCCATCACAAATTTTATCACTAATCTTTGTTATGAAATTCTTGGTGACAGAATTTTTCCCCGCTAAGTTTTGTCACTAAATTGTTTGTCATGAAATTTCTTATCGCTAATTCTGTTGCCAAATCTATTTTGTTGTAATTCTATCATTAATTTTAAATTTTATTATCTTAAATTATAATTTTTTGAGAAAACCATTCTTGAGGTACTTATAGTTTCATTCAATTTTTAATTTGGTACTTTTGTGTTTTTTCTGCTTATTGAATCTTTTAATTTTACTCTTTCAACATCATTAAATCTTAAAATTTTGTTCTATTAGCATTATTAGACCATATACAAAAACTAATTGTGCTAAGAGAGTAAAATTGAATGATTTGATATGGAAAGAAAAACTCATATGTACGAAATTAAAAATTGAAGAAAACTATAAATACTTTATTTTCACTAATCCTTTTTTTCTTTGCTAACATTTTAGATTATAATCCTGCAACCATTTATATAATATTTCTTTGATCCTTAACATAAAACTTATTTAACTAATTTAATTAAATTAAAAAAGTTAGCTAAATTAGTTAATTATAAAAAAATGACATGTTTTTCCTAAAATACTATTATTGTCTTTCTTAATATCCCCCCATCTTATCCCATTTGATTATGGTTAAGGAGTATCCACGGAAATAATTTAAAAAAATTTGATAAATATGAGAAACATGTCTTACATTTAAAACCAAAATCAATTCAATATTTAACTCTTATGTTAAGAATGGAGAAGTAACATAATAATAATATAATAATTTAAATATATTTTTAATTGTAAAATAAATTAATATCTTTGTCATGTTGGTGTTAATAAATGTATGATAGTCATTCATATCATCATTAGATGCTTGATAAAATAAAAAGACAATTTTTTAGAGAATCTATTTCATGGTCAATTAAAATCAATTCCTCTTGATCATAATAATCATTAAACAAATAAGATAAAAAATATTAATTGTTATAAATAAAGAAGAAAGAGTAGAGTTAGATGTAAGAGAATATAAAAGTATTTATCATTCCATTTAAGGTCCTAAATACATTATACATGCCCTCTATTTAGAGCCATGTACTACTAAAAAAAACACTTTTAACGTCGCCAAATAACGACAGTTAATCAAAAAACGACATGAAAAAAAAAGGCGGTGACATTTTTGTAAATAAGTTGATTAAGTCATGATTTTTCACGGTGGTTTTCCTAATAACCACCATGGAAAGTTTTAAATTAACCCTACACGGCGCGTTTGGTTTCTCTCATTTTCATTTTCGTTTCAGTTGTGCCGTGATCCCCCTCTGTCCCACTACCGAAAAACTTCCATTACCGGCCATTCCCCCCACTCCCCCGCCGTTTAAACTCCTCCATTTAGCTTGTGGTGTCTTGTCACTGTCTGCCACCGTTTGAACGCCCCTCTTTTCACATTTGAATCATCTCTACTCTGTGAGTATCTTCTTCTTTC